CAACTTTACAGTTTTTCGCGATAAGGTTTTTGAATAGGTGAAACAACACATATATTCTGAATCAGGTCGACGAGCTCTATCCAATTTATCGAGAAAATAGTTGTGCTCCTCGTTTGAATTAAGGACACCTTACTGAAAAATCAAAAGTCACATTTTCCCAAGTAGTACACCGACGGACTCTGTGTGTTCCTATTTCTACTCCGAATAAAATGTGTGATTACCATCCAAAAAATGATTATATTTTTGATGATTGCTAGGCATTATTTATTTGTACACGAAAGAGAAAGATAAAAAATTGAAAAGGTAATGATCATACTTAACTTTTGTAATATGGAGAACATTAGGTATCATCCTTGTCTTACATATCTGTTTATCCCAAGTGTAGTTTTCTGTTTTAAGCTTAAATACAAGGAAATTTGCCACACATGTCTTGGCTATGATATTCGACTACCATGCTTGTTTCCTCAAGGAAGGTTTTTCGTTTTATCTCAAGCTGCTGTTTAAGCAATTAATATAGCATAGTTTATACTTTCAGTACCTCCTTCCCGTCAGCATTATAATTGCCATGGCGGCATCATATTATCGAGTACTGATATATTTCCTTACTGTTAGACGTTTGCTAGAAAAAAAATATTGTCAATCAGATATATGTGATGAAAATTACGGTAAATTTCATTTATTACCAGGCATAGAAATGGTTACCTGTGGCACTGGTACGCATGATCCAGCGGACGTGGTCAAGAATGTTTCGCTGTGGTTGTTAATAATATTGATTATCTGGTATTTGACATTGGTATAGATGCAGAATTAAAATTGAATTCATTTAATAATACAGATAAACTGCCACTGATAACAAACATATTTTTAACACATTATCAAAGTGATCATACTGCTGGTGTACTAAATGCATTAAATCTCGAGTATGTACAAAGGATAAAACCTTTTCTGCAACCAGATAGAGTACACGGTGCAGATAAAGAACTATTGTATAATTTAAAACCGTGAATGAGACATTTTTATGATACGGATGCCATCAACAGACAGCTGATTGTTGATTTTCCAACAACGAAATGTAAACCAACTTTTGCAAGACCAACGAATACAAATTTAAATCCGAAACGATTTGATTCACTGAATTTTATAGCTGTGCCGTTCCAGACACCACCAATGGATAATAAAACACAAATACTTGTATATAAAAATAAGGATCTTACTGTTAAAGCATTTCGTGTTTATCATTTTACTGCTGATCCAGCTGTTGGTATGTTCTTAAATATACAAATAACAATTAGTGGCGATACAGATACGTCATTCATAAATAAGATGATCGATCTTTTTGCGAATATTGACCTTCGCCTCTCTCAGATAAGAGAATGCATTAAGTTTTGAGCTGAAAACGTTTGATGAAGTGAAGCGTGTTGTCTCATAAAAACAAATTGAATAAAGCTTTCGGCCTTTTTATTGATTGTACAATGTTTTCATCTTTTTCATACAAAACAATAGATATCAATAAAATATCTGAAAGATCGCTGGTCTATTTCTTAGAATTTCTCAACAATTTTTAAAATGATTTTAAAAAAGTATTATTGTTTGTATGCAGCAAAGAGGAGAAAAATGTTGTTGTTCACTACTCTTCCTGAAAAACGAAAAAAAGCTTATACCAAACAGAACACAAAAACGTACCAAAAATATTACTACTGATAACATCGAGTTAATTGCACAACTTCAATCGTTGTACATAATACAGACACAGAACAGTGAATTTAGTTGTGCAGTTCCTGCAAAGCTAAGTTCACATGTTCGAATCTCTATTTACACAAAATGGATTTTGTGTGTTTCGATAGTTTTAGTTTAGAATACTATAATGGGATATTTTTCCGCTTGTATTCTGACAGATTAAAGCTTATACTGACCAAAAAACAGCTTAATAAACGACATTTTCTCTTGGAAACTGCTCGGTTCTCCTATTTTCCACGCCCCCTTCCCTGAAAGTGAAGCCAGGTGAATTTCTTTCCTCCTCATTTTTTTCTTCTCTTTGCTGCATACGAACAATAGTACTTTTCTAAAATCATTTTAAAACTTGTTGAGAAATTCTAAGAAATAGACCAGCGATCTTTCAGATATCTTATTGATATCTATTGTTTTGTATGAAAAAGATAAAAACATTGTACAATCAATAAAAAGGCCGAAAGCTTTATTCAATTTGTTTTTATGAGACAACACGCTTCACTTCATCAAA